ATTTTTTTGCTTTTTTTTTCAAGGAGGGCATGTGTCAACAAAATAGAGCCCGAGGTGTCTCTCAATGGAGAGTGTTGGCCACTTATTATATTATAAATTCATTTTTTTGTGTGTTCCTAATTTTTTTTGTGTTATATAGCTATTTTAGTTTGGTATAATCAAATGAACATACCTTTTTTTTTTAATAATCAGGGTTAGTCCGGGATTTTACCATCCGACTAATCCCTCCAAGGTGAGTGTAGCCGTCGAATAGTCCACTCACCATGTTTTATATTTCTAATGGGTATAAAGCGTGACACCACTTCGATTAGCCAAATGGGAAGGGTTAGAAAATTTCGCGCTTGAGGAGAATTGAACACTGGCCTAGACCCACATAGCATTAACTAAAATATACCTCCATGATTGGTAATCCAATTAGGTGAATAATGTTTACAAAATAAAAAATTAAAGATTTATAACGAGCAGAATGGGCCAAACAGACATTAAGAGAACGAAAGATGAGAGATAGATTGAAATGGGGGATTTGCGGGGAATTGACTTTTCTTTTCAATTCTTCTAAAAATCTACAATTTAGGTTGAATTTCTTTTCTTCCAATTCTTACTGTCTCCAAATTAGAGGAAAATAATGCTTATTCTTCTAGAATTGTTAATTATTCCTGAAAGGAGGAGAGAAACACGATGGAACAAAATTGCTGGAAAAAATGTTGATTCTTCTCTATTTTTGCATTTAATTATTTTCCTCCCATTACTCTAACTAACCACCACTTAAAATGAGTTAGGTCGAATTTTGAATAGAAAACAAACCTCAATGTTTTTGTGAAAAGTATTAACTATTAAACACGGCTTCGAATCTAAGTGGTAATCGTTGGGGATTAATTAGGCTTGAAGTTGAAACAAACCAGGGTTCTTCTTTCTTGTGTGTTAAGCAATTATCTTTCCTTGAACAAACACAACACACGTTGCAAAGAAAAAACGATGAAGAACAATGGTGAATAAAAAAAAAAGAAGAACAATATTGGACTGTTAGCTAGAATAAAAACTGAGGCCCATATTCCAAACTGTACGTTAGATCAAAGTAGAACTCATTTTACCCATAAAATTGGGGAATTTTGATTATTCCTTAATCTTTTAACAAGATTCGCAAAATGAGAAAACAATTATTTATCTTTCGTGAATAATCCAAGCGAATCCGACTACTCACATATATACAAGTTTGTGGGACATAACATGTTAAACATCCAGTTTTACATGATTATCACTAATTTGGTCTTTCAAAACCGGATGTTTAACATGTTATACAGCTAGTGTGGCCGATGGAGATCCCTCGATGGCATTTTTCAGTATATTTTAACGCATAAGGTCGCATGGTAATGTCATTTGGTTTTTTCCATCGGTCACTTGGCCAACTATTACGGTCGATGGAGACACTCCAATGGAAATTTACATCATTTTTTAGCATGACATGTTTTATCACCAAATGACTTTCCTTTGTTCTACTTGTCTAAACTACCACCAAATGACTTTCCTTTCTCCAAAAACATCTCGAGACATGAAATGATTCAATAGAGAAACACTTACTTGGCTCTATTACATACCGTAGAAACAGAGCCTAATTTAAAAAGGAAAAACAAAAGCCTAATTTGATTGATCTCCAGGTTGAACAACATGAGTCAAAGTCTATGGTAAAAAGCTCCTTTTGGGATTTACTTTGAAGGCCTAAGTGTAACCATTACTCTCTATCTTCTCAAGTTTTGCGCCCTCAATTGATCAACAAGAACTGAAGCCACCATTGTTTCCACCATCGGCACAGCTGCAGCAACAAACCAAAGAATTCCCAAAATCAAAACCAAAATCAAAACCCCGAGTTATAACAGCGAATCAATTCAACAGTTTCGGGTTTATATAATATAAAAACCTCGTGGAACAACACAAGGATCATGACTACCAGTTGCAATCATTTCGGTTTCTTGCTTATCTCAGGTTCGCTTCCTCTGCGAATTGGAAATAGAGATGATTATCAAGCAAATATGTTATTATGGAAACTGCATGGGTTCTATCACGAACTTACTCCATTTGTAGATGTTGGCACCATTCGATATCCCTCCCTACGCAAACGACCAATATCAGCAATCTCTCATGAGATGAGTAGTTTATTGACACACATTAAACACAAGATTTTAACCAACCTGAATTCCACCAGATCGGTTTGTTCTGGTCCGTACTCTTCAGTTTTCATCGGTATAGAACTCGTCACTGTGTTCAAGACCAGTCATAAACGTACCTACGGGTTCAAAATACACAACCACGTAAAATCTCTCCCAACTATTTTGTCTCTTGTAGAGACTATTATATTTTACAATACTCTGTTCTAGCTTATTATACTTTTGATATCTTACGTGTTGTATTGGTTATTCAGGTTAATGTATTGACACACATATTTGAAGTGCCCATTAAAGAGGAAAACAAATCCAAGATAGAAACACTGAAAGAAAAGCACGCTAAGCAGGATCTCAAGGAGCTGTTTCGTTCAAAAAAGAAGAATGAAAAGGTGATGAGTCTTCTTGAAAAGACTAGTTAAGAAGTTGAAAGGGATGATGGGGCTCTCTGGGACATTTTCCGTAGAGAAGATGCTCCAAAATTAGAAAAATACATGGAGAAACATCACAAGGAGTTTAGAAATTTTCACTTGTCTAAGGTAGACCATCTTTGCATACGAAATAATTACTTTATATTTGTTGTAGTAGTATAATATAATGTGTATAGTCTTGGTTTTAGACTGGTCTTACAAGTCAGGAATCCTAGACTAAACAAGGGAAATCTACATATTATAAAGACTTAATGTTGCGGATAAGGTTTTCCTCATTCACATGTTTTTAAAGTATTGTTTCGAATGGGACAAAATTCATCATATGGTCATTGGGTTCTTGGAAAACAGTCGGTGATCCTCGTGTGAGGATTGCATATATTCTTCACGGAACATCGATCAACGATCACTTCAAAACAACCAAAGCTTTTCCAAGGCCCATTCTTTAATGGTATGAGAGGAACGGTTAACTTGAGGACAAAACTGTAAATCTTATTTCATCTAAAAAAAAGGAGGACAAAACAACCTCCTTTTTTTTTGTTTTCAATTGCTTTTTATGCCAAATAATTACAAACCCAGTTAGAAAAAATCGAATTGTTTTAGAGTAAAAGCGTATGAGATTTGGTTGAGAAGGCCCAACACCGAAGCCGTGGGATGAATAAAATTGGGATAAATCGCCTCCATCGAATAAAGATAGCATTCGCCACGAGGAAGAGGAGAATATGGCGACGGAGGTGGAGAAGAAGACGACGGAGGTGGTGAGGAGTGAGTATTTTACGGAGGAGGACTATGAGGCTTGGGGAGGGCCGGCTGTATACTGGAGTCGAGTGGCAGAATCTGACGTAA